GGTATTAGGGTGTTAGGGTACTAGATACTAGAGTGCTGGGCTATTAGGGTATTAGGGTATTAGGGTACTAGGGTACTAGGATATTAGGGTATTAGGGTATTAGGGTATTAGGGTATTAGGGTATTAGGGTATTAGGGTATTAGGGTATTAGGGTATTACGGTATTAGGGTATTAGGGTACTAGGGTACTAGGGTGTTAGGGTATTAGGATATTAGAGTTTTAAGGTATTGGGGTACTAGGGTGTTAGAATACTAGGGTGTTAGGACATTAGGGTGTTTGGCTATTAGCGTATTGGGGTATCAGGGTATTAGGGTATTAGGCTACTAGGGTATTAGGGTATTAAGTTGTTAGGTTGTTCAGTATTAGGGTATTGGGTATTAGGGTACTAGGGTACAAAATTGTAAGGGAATCAGGGTGTTAGGGCATTGGTGTATTAGGGTATTAGGGTACAAGGGTATTAGGGTACAAGGGTGTTAGGGTACTAGGGTGTAAGAGTATTAGGGTGCTAGAATATTAGGGCGCTCAGGTACTAGGGTACGAGGGAGTTAGCTAGGGTGTTAGGGTTTTAGGTTGAGGTATTAGGGTATTAGGGTACAAGGGTATTAGGGTAGTAGGGTGTTAGGGTAGTAGGTAGGACGATACTAGGGTACTAGGGTACTAGGGTACTATAGACTACGAGTAGTCCCTCTTTCGCTTAGTCAGTCGTGCGTGACGCGAAAGAAAACCGCGATAAAAATATGGCCTCGCGAAATCCTGGAGGCGAGGAGCGCGCGAAAGGAGGGACTACCGCCTAAGCCCAAGAGTTTGAATTACGCGTTGCTCTCACAACGCAGAAATATGATTGGCTCATGTTAGGAGCGTTGACAACGTGTTGTCAACTTTCGAGATACGTGTGACGTCTTGCAGGAATGTTTTGGAACCGGAGCAAATCGAAGCGGTACCACAGCAATTCGAAGCGTTGGAATTGCGCTTCGTAAGCTGTGATGTTCTTGCGAATGTGCCAACAAGCTTTGTAAATCTATCCAGTCTTTTGTTTGGCAAAGCTTTCCGCCTCCAACCCGACTGCGAGCGTGTTAGTGATTTCGCCGCTCAACAGCATCGTCCAAGTAAGCGAATGTAAATTCACTGAGCTTGGCCTTTCTGCCCGCGTCCATTTGAAAGATTGAACCGGACTTTTACTTGAAACCAGACATTCACCTTAAAGTTTCCGCTGTTATTGGCAAACATTTCACCGCAGTTGGATGATCTCCTATGTCAAATACATAATGTAAATTCTCGGTTGAAACTCTGCATTTGAAACTTTCGCAATAACTTTTAGATTTACACCTACAGACGCAGCGAAAATCGTTACTAGATGCCTCATTCGCCGTCTTATTTTTAAAACTTCTTTGGCACCTTTGCAGAACGAACACTGAACGAAAATATACTTCTCACGGCATATGTTTTTGCCTGGCTACTTGAAGAGTAGAGTAGACCAATTTTACTCAGGATATCTCCCGGGGTTATTGACAACAGGGGATAATAAGAGGACGTCAAGATGAGAAATCCTAAACCGAAAAATCGTGAAAGGGCAAACTCTTGGGCTTAGGCGGTAGTCCCTCCTTTCGCGCGCTCCTCGCCCCCAGGATTTCTCGCGGTCATTTTTTTCTCGCGGTTTTCTTTCGCGTCACGCACGACGGACTAAGCGAAAGAGGGACTACTCGTAGTCTCAGGGTACTAGTGTGTTACAGTATTAGGGTACTAGGCTGTTAGGGTATTAGGGTATAAAGGTACTAGGGTATTACGGTGTTTAGGTATGAAGGTTTTAGGGTATGAAGGTTTTAGGGTAGGGTACTAGGGTACTAGGATTTTAGGGTACTGTGGTATTAGGGTGTTAGGGTATTAGGGTATTAGGGTATTAGGGTACTAGGGTGTTAGGGTATGAGGGTATTAGGGTAGTAGGGTATTAGGGTATTAGGATGTTAGGGTAGTAGGGTATCAGGGTACTGGTGTACTAGGGTGTTATCTTTGAAAAGTTACAATTATTAGACTTTCTGGAGGGTTTTTGTGGTTTTTGTTTTTTCAAGATATTATAAAACTAAAAAAGAACCGCCACATTTACATGAACACACGGTGTGTCTGCATGAAGTCGAAGGCTTTGACCGCGCTGTGTGAAAGAGACTGGGTACTAAAGATACAATTCAGTGATCATACAAGAAGAATCCAGTGGGTTGTTTTTTCGCGGAAGTGAAAGTACCTTGCGTGTTTCTTCGCTTTATGTTTTTGCGCGTAGAGAAGAGTACGTAAGGAACACTAGGGGAGTTAAAATGTTTAAGGGCATGTATTTTTCAAGAGGTTACCGTCTTTTACGCCATGGATTACATCAGAACAGGTTTCTCAAGAACGCGACGATCAGAATGCTTCATGGAGGCGGCTCGGTACGCGAAGCTCTTGAACAACTGAGAGATATTGCAGTAACTCCAGAGCAAACAGACCTTTACAAAGAAGCGATAAAGATATACAACCCTGCTTACAGTTACGAACACCCCGCCTTTGTAGCCTTACCTAATAATGCTGATGACATTAAGCGTTGTCTGCAAATCGCCAACAAGACTGGGACCCCAGTGGCTGTCAAATCCGGGGGACACTGTTTCGCTGGATATTCCACCACTGACAGTAACGGATTTGTCATCTCTCTTAAGAATATGAATCATGTTCAAGTTAAGGGAGACATGACAACTGTACAAGCTGGAGCATGTTGGGGAGACGTGTATTCAGCGCTAGATGATACCGGCTATGTCGCAGTGGGAGGGTGCGTTCCTGCTGTGGGGATTGGGGGGTACATTCTTGGGGGTGGCTACAGTATGTTGTCACGTGGGCATGGTGGCCTGGCATGTGACAAGGCCATGTCTTTTACCATGGTTACAGTTGATGGAAGTAACCTTGTGAAAGCATCAGCTGAGGAAAATCAGGACCTCTTTTGGGCCTTAAAAGGAGGGGGAGGTGGCAATTTTGGAATCTTAGTTGATGTCACTCTAGAAGTGTGTCCGCGACCAAATCAATTCATCTGGAATCGTCTCATTTATAGCACCACTGATGAAAGTGAGCGAGGGCGTAATGCAGTCGGTGAGAATCTAAGCAAGTTTCCTAAAGAGCTCAATCTTGACTTCGCCCTTCATGGTTATTTTGGCAAGAAGACCCTGACCCTGGATGCTGTGTACTCTGATATCCATGAAGACAAAGTACAAGCAAGCCTCAAAAATCTCCACCCAACAACAGAAACACAACCTCAGGTGTTTACCTCGTATCTGCAGTTTTCAACTGAATACAGCCGACGCCATGGCTTTGTTCATCAAGAAGTAGAACCCATTTACGTCAAGGGTGTAATGATTGAATCATTGCCTCCACCTCTAGCAAAATATTTTACCCATATCGATATTCCTTCAGAATGTCTTCTTGAGTTTGTTCACATGGGTGGCGATATTGCACAGCATTTTTCAACGTCCACTGCTTTTCCATTCCGCTCTGCACAGTACAGCTTCTATACGTATGGTAGGTTTCATGACCCTGTTCAGAGAGAAGAGGTAACAAAGTTTGCTACATCAACATATAATGCCGTGAGAGAATCTGGATGCTCTCTTGGTAGTTATGTGAACTATATGGACCGAGATCTAAAGAACTGGGGTGAGAATTTCTATGGTATAAATTACCCACGCCTTTGTGAAATCAAGAACAAATGGAATCCTCTTGGGCATGGGTCCTTGCACTTTCAACAGGAAATTGGTTCCTCTTGGGAGCCTTGATCTTCTGTTTTCCTTTGTGATTTAATTGTTAATTACGTAGTGAACATATGACAGACACAGCATAAATGGTGGTTGAAGTTGAAACATGAAATGATCTCTACAGTGTAAAAACAGCCAGATCAGAAAGAGCAAACACTTTAAGAGTGAGGACAATGTAAAAAGGTTAATCTTTCAAAAGTAGCTAAGAGTATATCTGAGGCATGAATTTTGTTAAAATGTGTGCATGAAATGGAATCACAACCCCCCTTTCCTACCCTAAAATGTCTGGGAGAGATCAATTAATTATTATTGAATTTGCCAAAAAATTGTCACAGGCATGGATGATTCTATTGCTCCATCAAATGTAAGAACATAGGTTTTTAATAGATTTTTAATTATTGTATATTTTAGAGGGCCACATGTTTATTAGCTGTATAACTATTAGGTGTTTTACCATCTATAAATAAAGATTGATTGATTGATTGATTGATTGATTGAAGAACAAGCATTAAAAGGGACAAAAGTCAACTAATTCATGAAATAGAAACTCAGAACTCATTCTCCTAAACCAATACTTAGTTCTTCCATACATAGTATGTGGTTTTATACCTACATGCATGATTTAGTTACCCTTTTTTGGTCTTTTTGGTAGATGAGAGTGAGCAACATTTCTAGTAAAATTATCAGAGAGACCTTTTGACTATCTGCTTTTTGTTTTGTTTTGTTTTGTTTTGTTTTTTTTGATGGGGATGGGGGTGTGGGTCAACTTAAAAGTGCATCTAATCTGATTCAGGCACAAAATCACATCAAATATCCCCTGAAAAATATCCCCTGAAAATGCCAAAACTTGGCTAAAATATGTGCAAAAAATTAAAAAATGTCTTTTGAGCACTTTCCATTGTATCTAGGAGCTGTAGTGACCAGTGCAGTGGACTGTGAGAGCTAGCCTGTATCAGGGAGACTTCCAGAAGAGTTGGTATAGATGCGATCTTGGTTGGCACCCATCAAATGAAAACCTTTGCCCAAACAGTGTTTAATCTAACAAATATCTTTTAAGTTTAAACAATGTACTAATAATTTGTAACTTAACATTAAGTTAAAGAACAAATAGACTTTGCTGTATCATATTTTTAGAAATAATTTAATATATAATTTTGTATCATTTCAGAAATAAAAGATCTAGGAGAAATGTGAACTCGATAGAGACTGGAATCTAATGTATAAAAGTGGTATTTCTTAACCGCGGGTGGGCGGNGGGGGTACTTCCAGAAAAGTTGGTTGGGGGTGTGCGGCCCACTTCCCCAAACCCTTACCCTATTTATGACCAAAATCTGCATTTTTTGCTACCCTATTTATGACCTAACCAAAAATTCAATAGTCTATTTACGATCATTGTCGCTGACACAGTTGCTCCAAACATAAGTTATGAAGGGCTTTTGTTGATGGTCTTATTGATAATGATGAAGAAGTAGCTTCTTCTAAGAAACATACCCAATTCAAGACTAGAGTGTTAAACCCATACCCTATTTATAACCAAAATGGCCAAAATCAATACCCTATTTATGACCAAAATGGCTGAAAAACCCTACTGTTTAGGGCCACACATGCCTATATAACCCATATAAGAGAGTACCCCCCCCCCCCGAGTTCTTAAAGGCCTTCTGTAATAACTCAAAGAAAATTATGATGAGCTTTCTTTCATTACATGGACTGTAAGTTCATCAGTGTAAACAATTTATCTGGATAAGATGTGGATTAGGTTAATTAAGCACTTAAGGTGCTTCAAAAACCTGTGCCTTTGTTGGAACACATTAAAATGTCCTGATTAATACTTTTTCACCTTTACCTTGGGCAGTAACTTTTCTTTTTGTTCACGTTTCCTCAAGCTTACGGTTCTTTCAGTGTTTTTTGCTTGAGGAAAAATCGAAAAACATTTTTTAAAAGTTTTTTTTGCCGATTTTTTCCCGCGCCATTAGGACCAGCAACGCACTGGGAACTAATGAAGGACTGCGACCCATGAATCTATGCGGGCTTAACTTCAATATGGCGTCTCCTGTTGAATGAATCGTCGAGAGCTGTTTGTATCCTTTACTTAGTCATCTCGTGGTGATCAGGACGACAACACAGGTAAAATGCATCGTTAATAATACGTCATCGCGTATATTAGTTTTATTCAGGGATTCAGAGACAAACATATACCAAATATCGATATTAGATCGAACAATTCAATTCGATCTTCTGACAGATCGAGAAGCGTCAACGTGTTGAACGCGACAGTTAGTGTGCATGCTTTCCTTTACCATTTCTCTGGGTCGTCATATTCATTTTCAAGTCATTTATTTATTTTGAATCTTGATCAAGTGGATAGAGGTGTACATGTTGCTGACGTTCAAAATATTTGTTTACTACGAGCCTCATAAACAGTCAATGTTGAATTCCTTTTAGCTCAAGAACGATGTCATCTTTACCACCCAATGCTTTACCAACACCCCCGGTACCCATCTCCCGGCCAGCAGGACGAGCAGGGCGCAGCACTCCACGGCGTAGTTCTTCACGTTCCATCAAGAGAAAGAAGTTTGACGATGAACTTGTTGAGAGCAGTCTTAAAAAAGCATCAAAACAGAGAGGTGATGTCCCTGGATTGGAAAAAGATATAAAAAGAACTTTGGTAAGCTGATGATGTAGGTAAAAGGTCTGTGTCTAAGCTCAGTGGTAGTGGCAGTTATCACCAGTTTCTGTAGCAAGGAGTGACAGTGAGTATTTCTTCTTCCCCTGGGATGGGATGCTAGTCCATTGCAGGATTGCCCCTAGCACTCAATAAGGATTATCCCAGCACTCAATTTGCAGGTTGCCATTTGTACACCTACAGGTGTAGGTGGAGAGAGGCACTGTGAGAGTTAAGTGGATGGGATGCTAGGCCACCATAGGGTTACCCCCAGCACTCAATTAGGATTCTCCCAGCACTCAATTTGCCGGTTGTCATTTGTACGCCTAGGTGGAGAGAGGCACTGTGAGAGAGTGTCTTCTCCAGGAACACAGTGCATCAACTATGAGGCCACCATGCCTCCCCATGTATTGGTAAATGTAAACTATAAGGCACATTCTTCATTCTCACATGCTATGCTATAAAGTGCTTGGTTTCAAGCTAATGTGAGAATAAGTTGCTTTACACTACATAACAGAAATGATAAGGAGGTGTGAAATTTTTTTGGTCAATGTTGTTGAGAAAGTGGCAATTTTGGTACTTTGGTTTTTTAGTTTTGAGAAAAAAAAAATTTCTTCAAATACAATTTTACAAACCTGTTTGACTTTTACTTTACTTTGTCTTATTATGATTGTTAGCCATTGTAAACCAGTTTTAATTTAAACGAAATTTACATTTGCAGCTTTCATGTTTGATTCTAATGCAACCCTAGTGAAAGTAATATCATAGTTATAGAACATATGGCTCTACCACTGTCGATAACGTTTGTTCATTTATATTTTCAAATTTTTGTCTCCTTGTAAATTCGGTAGCCGACAGGTAAAGGTTCTTCAAGAAAACAGCGTAAAAGCAAGGTCAGCATCATTTGAGTATGGATAAAGTCTCCTCTCTTTTATCAATTTTTTACCAATATTTCACCTTTCTGTTTATCACTGCCTTGTTTTTTTCCTTGACCACAAGACATGATGACAATGAAATTTATCTTATCGCAGAATCCTCAAGTGAATAAAGACTTTGGACGATGGAGACCGTCAGATGATTTAGCTCTTATCACAGCAGTTCAACAGGTAAAACTCATAGCATTCAGTAAACATTCAGCAATTCGAGTGAAATGGCCTGACCTCGTCAGGAGAGCTGTAAATTCCCGTGCCCCCCCCCTTGCAGAATCCATGGAGTGCTTCACATCTGGGAGGGACACTGCTGGCCTGCAGTTGTCTTGAGTTGAAATTAGCCTAAATTACATTGAGCCATATTAACAATTTTGTCATTGTGTAAAGGTTACCGTATACCTGTAGAGGTGTCTCACACCCAAGCAATGTTGCGTGTTCAGTTTAAACTGTACATAGCTAAACCCCTATATCATATTAAAGCTTTTAGAGCTAGCTATCAAACTACGCCAAGAATTTTGAAATAAAATGAACTGTCAAATTTTTCGTAACCTCTACATGAGAGTATTCGAATCACCTTTTGAAAGCTACAAGTCAAACTGAATTTTGTTTTTTGTTAATGTAATTTGTTTCTCAGTTTCCAGACCCAAAGCACTAAAAAAGTGTCTCATTTTGCCCTATTCAGTTGCAGTAAAAATTAACAGAACATTTTCAAAATTGGATTTCAAAAATATTGGATGCGAGACACCTCTAAGGGTGTGTGGTATCCTTAGTAATCAATTTACTAAAATTGGAAACTACTTATAACTGCAGTGATGTTTTCTTTCTTGTAGACAAATGATCTGACTGCTGTTTACCTTGGAATAAAGTTTTCTTGTCGATTCACGCAGAAGGAAATTCAAGAGCGATGGTACCAACTTCTCTATGACCCTGTGGTGTCCAGGTGTTTTAACTTTGTTTTGCTTTATTCTTTAAAAGTGATTCTACTTAGAGTTCAATCAGTTTTTGCACTAGGCTTTCCAAACTTAGCATCTTGGACCCCTCAGCTTCAAACTTTGAGGGGTCTTTTAAGTATCCTCATAAATTGACCATCTGAGAAACTACTGTAAGTCCTTTTGGCACCATTTTCCATTTGAAGACTTTTAAAATCAAAACGTCAAACTATCATTTCTATTTAGATTTTAGTTTAATAATAATAGTTTTTCTTGATGTTTCAATTCAAGGCTGGCCACCACTGCTGTCAAACAGCTGCCTCCAGATGTTATAGCTGCCGCACAAAACAATGCACTCTGGAGTAAAGACGAGGAGCACATTTTAGCAAATGTTCCTGCGGTATGTTAGCGATGCACAGCAAAATTTTGACAAGGAGATGAAGGAGAAAGAGTTGTTTATTGTTTGCAAAAGCCATGGTTTTTTCTTTGCAGTAGTTACATTGGAGATTGAAGGAACCCAGTAACTCTAAATGTTTTTTGTAACTGCACATTGTCTTCTTCAATAACATTAACTGCAGTGATTAAATCTTCTTGTTTTATCTGTGTGAAAGTTGCAAAGTACACTATAATGTGTATTTACTTGTTTATTTATTATTGTATTTTAGAATAGCCCAGCTTCTTTGGAATTATTCCAAGATTTGTTGGATAAAAACCCGTCAGTTTTTCACCAGTGTCGATCACCTAAGGCCTTAAGGAATCACTGGCTCCTCATGCGACAATACCAGCTTCTCTCTGATCAGGCAGGTAATAACATCAATCAAACAGTGAGTTGTGTATTCATTGTTAAACTTGTTTGTTCATTTACACTGTGTTTGTTCTTTTTTGAAATATTTATTCAGTCAGTCAGTTTGTCTGTCTATCTGTCTGTCAGTCAGAGTCAGTTTATCATGTAAGCACAACAGCTCTTAAACTCTTTTTTTAGTTTCCACAGCAGAACATGCAATGAGTTTTTCTGATGCTGAAGAACAAATTAATGATGCCGAGCTTTTGTAAGTATTAATTAATACAGTCCAACCCCTATTAAGCAGCCACCTATTAAATGGCGACCCCTATTAGGCGGCCAGCAATCAAACTCCCGATGATGGTTTTTCTATTGTTTGTACCTCTATTAAGTGGCCTACCTCTACTAAGTGGCCAACCCCTTTTAAGCGGCCACAGTCCATTTCCCTGAGGGTGGCCGTTTAATAAGGGTTTGACTGTACTACTGGGAAAATAATAATTTTCTTAAACCAATATTATAACAGGGGTCGGTCAATAAATGCAAAGAGCAAAAAACCGTGAACACACATCTGACATTTTCAGATATGTTGGTTTTGATAATAGAGATGACAGCATGCTTCTACTGCTCAGAGACAGGAGGGAGCCTGGGCCCTAAGAATAAGAAATTTTGGTTTAAGCAAAAGCTCATCATTCTCATACTGATATTCATGCTCATGAGGGTCTTAAATAGTGAGATAGCACATGTGCACAAGGATTCTGAACTCAAAAAATACAAAGTCAAATCCTAACCTAACCCTTAATTACTTTTGACGGAAAAAAGTGATCCTTTTTACGTTCAAATATGGTTGGTTCTTTGTTTTACTTTCTTTGATGTAAAATCCTGGTTATCTGCCTGTCAATTATTCTGAATTAAAAATTATTTGATTTATAAGTATTGTCTCTCATTATATAAATCAGCCTTCATCCTCCTAACTTATGCTCTCACAGGACCTTGTTTAAGCTCAGAGCTTAAAACCAAGGTCTTATTAAACTGTGTTGCAAGCACTCCCATACAGAAGAGTTTCTTGTTTGCTGGTCGCGTGAAAATTGGGGTAAGAGTGAAAACTCAACAGTGTCGGGGTGGTGGGGGACGTGAATGCTCGTTACTCAAGCTAACATTTTATCATCTTGTTATTCTGTTGAAAGTATTAATGAAATGTTGACAATGTTTTTGCTATTGCTAGAGAAACCAAAGATGATAACCTGGAACAAGAGCTCTCTTTAGCTGATAGACGCAACAAGCGAGAAATTCGTCTATTAGAAGGAGAGATTCCACTCTGGCAAGTTATCGTGGAGAAACTCAATGCAGCCAGTAAGATTTTGTGTCATTGTCTTAAGAAGAACACTTCAACATGATGAGATGATGAGAATAGAGTCCTAATGTGGTGACGTCACAAAAATAAAATTTGTGAAATTATGGGATGTGATGTCATATTCTTATAGAGAATCCTAAAAGATGCCCTCATCCCAAAAATTAGCTCTGAATTCCAATTCCTGATAGAGATATAAGGGATCAAAGTTTGATAGCATTCCCATACAAACCCTTCAAAATTTGTTTCAGTTCCTTCAGTTTAGAACTGACTCAAAATGAGAGAGATTTATATGGGGCAGTACCAAATTTTCATCCTTTATATTTCGGCTGCGAATTACAAGTAATTTTTGGCGAAGGCCCATTTTTAAGGATGCTCTATTCGAAAATGGTGCAAAATCCCATAGTTTCTCAAATTTATTTTTTTGTGACGTCACGCTTTAGGACTCTATTAATCCCTTATGGGGTACAAAACGTCGTGCGGAAATCCGTAGGCTGGGCCAATTTGACAGTTGGAGGAATTCTCTTCAATTAATCAATCAATCAACAATCAGTCAGTCAGTCAGTCATTCAATCAGTAAATAAATCAATTAATTAATCAATCAGTCAGTCAGTCAATCAGTGATTTAGACATGCAATGGCTCGTAAAAATAAGTCGGTGCTTACTAATGATAAAAAGATTGCATATAGTTATTTGCCACATTGGATAATCACAACAATTCGCACCTTAAATAAGTCAAGAGTGTAATTAATTTATTAGAATGAATTTCCATCAGGTGGTAATGACGCCCTCTGATTTGTTCTCAGCCGGAACTACCACAGTCACCCCAGCCAGTGAATTTGATTCACACACACTTGCTGTGTTGAGAGGCCGTTTAGTTAGGTACCTCATGCGCTCCAGAGAGGTAAGTCTTATCATTATCATTATCATTATCATTATCATTATCATTATCATTATGACTATTATTATTATTATTATTATTATTATTATTATTATTATTATTATTATAACTGCATGCCTGTAGCTTGCCCAAGGCCAGTGAGCAAGGAAATTTTGGAGATTATTTGACGGCAAACTCAGTCATGTCATTGATTTTCTTTGTTCGGTGTTCAACTTTTCCAGATCACTGTTGGAAGATCAACGGCAGACAATCATGTCGATGTTGATTTGTCCTTGGAGGGACCGGCGTGGAAAATCTCCAGACGACAGGCAGTCATCAAACTTCGTAGCGATGGTGAATACTGTGTTATTAACGAGGGCCGTAGACCGCTGTACATAGACGGCAAGCCTGTTGTCATAGGAACCAAAGCGAGGCTCCATCACAACTCCACTTTCGAGGTAATTTGCCGAATTCGAGGGTAATTAAAGCTTATGATTTTGATGATGATATGATCCATGGCTATTCCTAGGCTCTTTCTATATTCTGTTCTCATCATACAAAAATCATATTTGTAAATAACTTGGGTAAGGTTGTTTGTAACTTTATTTCTAAAGATTAAGTGAATTTCGATTGATTGTCGACCGAAAAAAAGGGAAAAAACACTTTTCCTTTTAAGAGAAAAACCAAAGATGGCGTGATTTTAGTACATTTTCCCGCGTTTGGCACGTGCTGCATGGTGTGACTTCGGATTATGATTGGTTTATTTTGGTATTTACTCTTGCTGTAATTGGTTAGATGTGTTTGGATGTGTCACGAGTGCAAAAAAGAAGAAATATCATAACCCATTGATCATGATTAACTAACGCTACGCGGGAGAAATTTGAAAACGGATGTTTCACTCTTGAAACGCATCAAATGTCTGCCGTCCACGCTACGCGGAAGAATTTGAAAAGGCAACGATCAGTGGTCATTTTGAATTTGTGATTAAGGAAAACTTGGTCAGTGAAATCAAATGATTATCGTGACGTCATCGTTTTCGAAAAACTCCGTTTTCAAAATGTTTTCCGTCGACACGAAAACGAAAAGCCGCCGTTTTCAAATTCCTTCAGTTTGAAGAGCGTTTTCGAAAAGCTCCGTTTTCGTGACGGATTAGTGTGGACGTAAGGCCTAACCGTAGAAACAAAGCTACGTTTTCAAATTTCTCCGGCGTAGTGTAGTTTGAAACTATTTCATTCACCATTCAATTAACTCAGTCTTTTCTTCAACAGATTTGTGGTCTTCGCTTCGTTTTCCTAATAAACCAAGATATTCCTGGAGCTGTCAAGGAAGTAAAGCAACCACCGCCGGCACAGCATGGAAAAGCGGCTTAAACATGGGAGGAAAGCTGCGATAATTTCAACCTTCATTGCTGAAAGTGGCGTGGAGAAAGCAAATGATGCCTGTGGCTCACCGAAGTGGCGTGTTCATCTTCGTCAAGTTTCCGATTGTTATCGACCAATGAGAAACGTGGGCGACCACTCACGAACTTAGCTAGAGCTGCTGTCGCGAAAAGTTAAACAGAAACACTTTAATTATGAACGAGGAGTTGATTCGGCGGTTTTGTAAAAAGGATATATTCATCGGTGTTTTAGTTGACCACCGATGTATACGACTGAGTTTTCCATTTCGCTATATAGAATCTGCTTACGCACATATTTGTAAACCTTTTGAAAAGATAAGATTTTGGCATTTTGAAGGTCAACAAAAACGTCGCTTTTTCATTGTTCCCCCACTCTAACGCCTTGTAGCGACTATTTAAGTGTAAATAACAGTATAACAGCTATATATACGAAATAAATGTTCATGTGTCTTAAACCCGTTTCAGAATTTTTCCAAGAGTTCGGTTTGTTCTACTAGGGATGGGATTCACCAACTCCTAACAATCCTCAACCATAGCTAAATAAATCAAAATTACGTGAAAAAAAGTTTTCATCCTACGGGTCATGCGTTGTTTCGTTCCTGGGCCTGTCTCACCGTCAATGCCCGCGCGCCCTATACCTTCGAAATGCTGTATTTCTCCTGCCCAAGCCATACTCGGGTAACTCGCGGGCTGTGTTTTTTTTGAGCAGTAAATTTCGAGTAGAGGAGGAGTTGCTCGACAGTCGTTACTTTTCTTTCTTCCGGCAATTGGAGGAGGCCTGGGGAGGAAAGGCGATTCCCCCCGGAAAAAAATGGGGGGTTTCTTGCTAACGTCATTGTTTACATTTTCGCCCAATCCCTCTGCTCTACATGTAAGATATGTATTGACTTCAAGCAGTATAAGAGCTGATGAAACTTTGTACATGGTTAAATGTTTAGCTATTTGGGTGTAATTTTTAGCTTTCAAAAACTGCAAAATTTATGGGCAGCAAAAGTCCTAATGGGCTCATACATTCCTAATAAAAGTTTTAGTTTTTAAACCCGCGTCGCACAAAAAGTATTCAACAAACCGGACTCAAATTGGCTAATCGTGTTATGACCTTTTATGTTCAGAACTGATGTTTTTGTAGCTTGATTAGAAACCAGTATCGCTTATGCTAATGAGGCAAATATTGTAAACAACGATTCTCCAGTACTCAAACGCCATCTACTCTTTCAATTTCCTAGAAGTGGGATAAGCTAGAGCTGGTAATAGCTACTCTGAGAACGAGAATGAAAAAATAAATAAATAAATAAAAATTTTTGAAAGATACAACGCAAAACTCGGCCAGTTCCAATCTGATCTTAGATGTGTCAATCATTCCATATAAGGAAGCGTGAGGTGACAAGTTAGAAATTCGAACGGTGCTGAAGCCAGACATTCCATCACAATGTGGTGTCACGGACTGGGGAGCGTTGCTGGTTTCCTAGCAGCTGAATATTGCAGCTCTCTCTAGCTTGGTCATTTATCAACATCATGAACCGATATTGCCTATAGATCATTTTAATTGGAAGACACGGTTTGGTGTACTCGAGTGGTTTTAACACGGCGAGAGATCACTCAAAACATCGCTCGTGATTCGCACGCCGAGAGGTCAACACAGTGACTACTGGCTTCCTCGGGAAGAGAAGGGTTGTTTATCAAGACAACAGAGAAAAGGATATGTTTACGGATATTGCCTGATAAAGAACATTTGGATTATTTGTTGCTGAAGACGGTGATGAAGGAGCCAAAATTGTTTTCGGGAAGTTAATTAGGCGAGGCGCGTAATACAAATGTTGAGTTTTACAAACAAGGATTGTGCCGAATACGAATTTCCTGAGTAAGCTTAAATACGACGACTTGGACACAAATTATGGCGTATCTACCTCCACCAACACCGACGTTCGAAAAGGACAGGATAAGAGCGTTGAAAAATGAACGAATTAACTCTCAAAAGAAAACCTTTACGAAGTGGGTTAATTCTTTCCTTGATAAGGTAAGCTTAAGTGTAAAAATTGTCAGGTGGCGTTTGTAACACGACAAACTAACTTAAATAAGAGTAATTTTACAAGCATAACTTTGTTAGAGTACAGACTTGCATAGAGTAAGGTTCTGCAAGCTTTTTAGTGTTTTGTAGTAAATTATATTATTCAAGAAGTTTTATACACTCAGATTAATGCACATCTATATGCTTGTTATGCAAAGGCAGGGCCATTAGTCCTCTCAAGTGAGGTAAGTGGTTTCAGTTGAGTGGAATATTTTTGTGACAACCTACAATGAATAGGTTTGTCACTAAATCTTGCCAGAGATACAATACATGTATGCTCTACCTGCCACTTGTTTTATCAAACTTGATTGGCTATTTTGTAGTAGGGGTCGCAGAGTCTGTAAACTTTTGAACCCCTAAAAAATGTGATCTGAAAAATTCTTACAAATAAATTGCAAATTCCCGGTATGCTTCCTTGCAATCTTTCACCTCATGTACAGCTGATTTGGAAAAGTTGTTCTACAAAACAGGGCTGTCATTAAGTTTAGAGTCACCTGTAGCCTCGTTCTCCACACCCATAGCAAACTTTTTCTTTGTGGATGAATTTTATGAACAACAAGCAATTTCACCTGTAGCATCAAGGGAAAATCAATCATACTCAGCCATATCAGGTGTTACGGGTTACACTGCTACCCTTGATGACAACCCTGCAAAAGTGCTGATATGTATTATGGATAATGTTAGCAATTACCCCTGTTTGACTGAAGTCTTGAATATGAGTATTTATGGTTTCACCTTCAATTCCTTCATTATTTAATGCCATGGACTTTGATCAAGCAATGCTGAATGACCACTACCCATAATACCTCTCAGCATTGTCATGCTGACGCCAGGACATCCTTCCTGGAAATAGCCGTAAGCACTGAAAGTAAGTAAATCATCTCTGCAACAGTGTTCCCAGGGTGAGCCTGCTGATGAAGACAATATACAAGGGTTTGATTCTAACAACAGAAGCCCTTGACCCAATCGTGACCCAATTTCTGTGTCTGAGTGGAGAGAGGCACTGCAAGAGTAACACATCTTGCCCAAAACACAACTGGTCCCCTGGCAAGGGATCAAACCCACTAGTAGGCCACTGCCTTATTAAATAATTGTGATCAGTAATGTTTCGTTACAAGTTGAGCTTATATTTTTACAGAATAACAACCATGTAGATGACTTATTCAGCGACTTGTGTGATGGTAGATTGTTGATTTGTCTTCTTGAGACTATTTCTGGTGAAAAGCTGGGAAAAATTGGTATGGATTTATTAGGCAAATACACTGTAGATTTAAGTTTGTTGACACGATGATATTAATAGTACTAAGTAAACTGGACTGTAGAGTACAGTCAAACCTCTCCACAACAGCCAGGTTTGACTGAATATACTTTGGCACCTTTCTGCAACAGCCATGTGACTGTCTGTGGAGAGGATGTCATAAGGAAGTGTCTGGGGATGGGTGCACAGGTTGCATCAACCTTTTAAACTAATCGTAATCTTTTATCTTGCCTTCGACTGGAAGCAAAATGATAATTAAAAACATGACCAGTGTTCATGGTTATTGGTCTTACTTTATAACTGAGTGATCTCATTTAAATTGTTATTGATATCTGTTGTAGATTGAAATTCCTATTTTGTACATTGCTCAAATCAAATTGTTACATTTCTTGGATTCATATTCATGTGCTTGGTTAACATTTTGTGTTCTCTTTCCTCAGCTCGTGGAAAACTCAGGGTTCATAAGATTGAAAATGTAAACAAAGCCCTTGAATTTCTACAGCGTTCAGTAAGTTTATGATAGATACATGTGCAGAAAGATAAATTCACGAATCAGATTCGTAATTGACAACATTATTGCATAAAACCTGTAACTTCCAAATTTGATGATCTGCATAGGAAGTTGATGGAAGTTTCATCTTTGTTGCCTCAAGTAGAAACTGACCAACATGTAGATAACTGAAAACAAGTTTACAGGATGTGGCTTGTTCACTATTCTGACTTATTTAATTTTGTTTTAGGTGAAGTTGGAGAGTATTGGAGCAGAAGACATAGTTGATGGCAATGAGCGTTTGATTTTGGCAGTGATTTGGATGATTATACTTCGATTCCAAATAGCAGACATTTCTTACCAGGTATGACTTAAACGTTTTTGAGACATGATATTATATGAAGAGAATAATATTCATTAGTGTTCATATGATAAATATTAATGTATTTTAATAAATTTCTTGTTATTGTAAGTGAAGTGACTCGGAAATTATCTGGTATACATTTTCTAAGGGGGTGTTTTTGGTGTGAGCCCTCTCCCCTCCCCACTCCCGAATCAAGCACTCATCATTAGTGATTTTTTGAAAAAAAAACAAAATCAAACAAACAAAAATGTTTGTTTTAACCCCCATTCCTCCCGCCCTGTCCTCTGAATTTCTCGCGACCTTTCTTGGGGTGGGTATGGACATTTCCTGAAATGCCACAATTTTAAGTAGTTGTCTATTGGGAGAACATGGTTTAGTAGTTTGTAAAGTTAACTGATTTCTTTCCAGTCCTTGTCCAGGCTTGGTTCCTTGCTATTTATAATTACATGTATTGTAATTATTTCAGGATGAAATGTCCAAGGAGAAAAAGTCTGCAAAGGAAGCGTTACTTCTTTGGTGCCAAAGAATGACAAGAGGGTAGGAATATGTATAAGTATTGACTTTACAGCTGTTCTGTTGTCAGAGTTATTAGAACTACATTATAAAATGAAGGCAGTTTATATAAAGTACAAGGTTAGGGTTTTTTCAGATGTGGAGTGTAACAATACTAAAGAACTCTTGTCAAGACAAAGAGCCTTCATTCTATAGTCACTGGAAAAAAGTATTAAAAATATGAAACTTGTGTTCACAGTTCGAGTATCCACACAATGTAAATGACATACATGGATAAAGTTAACTGATCAATTGGATAAAAAATGCATTCTGAATGAAAACAATCCATTGGATTGTGCTCGATTGAGTTCAGTTATTGTACAATAGTATTCAGGTGTAGATGTGTCACTTTCCTTTTTATTGCATTCTCTCATTGTGAAGGTATCCTGGTGTTGATGTACAGAACTTTACTACAAGTTGGAGGAATGGTTTAGCATTCAATGCCCTCATCCATAAGCACAGGTAAACTCTGAAATGGTAACAGTAAAATGTTTTCATTATGTGACAGTCAGTTTTTGTTTGGCATAAGTCTAAATTAATACTATTTTAACATAAAACTACAGTCGAACCCCTATTAAGCTGCCACCTATAAAACAGCCACCCCTATTAGGCGGCCAGCAATCGAAGTCCCAATGATGGCTTTTCTATTGTTTCTACCTCTATTAAGTGGCCAACCCCTTTTAAGCAGCTACAGTCCATTTCCCCGAGGATGGCCATTTAATAGGGGTTTGACTGTAGTTTTGTAGTAGTATACAGGGCTGTAAATAAGGGCCATAACCCTTAGCACTCTCCTGTTGTGGCACTTGACCTGGCCTGCTCCAAAAACTACAATCGGCAAGAGTGAGATTTTTGCCGCTTCCAGATTGTCTTTTGTCATGAATTCTTTTATTTCAAGGCTATCACTTGACATATCCCATGTATCCTGTTGGACATCAACCTACTGTAGTTTGCTGGCATTGTACAGATCTCCAAAACACTGCATCAATTTTTGACAATTTCAATTGCATCTCTGACTTTCGCTTGTGATCTCCATCACATCACTGAAAGTCATGCATGGATTGGAAGATTTTGATCACATGTTCAAGACACTGTTCAAGTGTGACGTAGAATGACTATAAATAATTTTTTTCAAAAGGTCTGTCCACAGCAGGAAAGTTAAAAAGAACTTTTAGATAATACAAGTATACATGGCCAATTTTCAATTTTACAGTCAGAAGGCCATTCTAGTTTCTACTGAAACCTATCCGTTAAATTGAAAATGATTGATATGAAGTGTTTATAGTCTGAAGGCTTTGAACCATTAAGCTGTTTCTCACTGTCTTCACTTACAGACCTGACATAATCAACTATGGCTCCTTGCGCCCCAACCAACATGAGGCAAACCTGAACAATGCCTTTAATGTTGCCGAAGAGAGTTTGGGTATTGCCAAGCTATTGGATGCAGAGGGTATGATAATTCTTTTTGCACGCATTTTAATATTTTTAACGGATTTGGATAAGACTTTGCTTGATTGAGTTCGTTGTTTCACATGCACTGGACTGTACTGATGTCCAACTGTTGTTCCTTAACAATTTCACTCAGATGTGGATTGTCCACGGCCTGATGAGAAGTCCATCATGACTTATGTGTCAATGTATTATCAATATTTTGCCAAGATGAAGAGTGAAGAAACTGGAGGAAGGCGTATTGCTAAGGTGGGTTTACTTACTTACTTGTATTAGATAAAAGGTAAAGTAAGGTTAAGTCTGCATACGAGCTGAGTGGCCCATCAGGCTAGAGCTTATCCTGGTTTCTGTAGCATGAAGGGACTAGGAGTATTTCTACTCCCCCCTGGATGGGATACTAGTCCATCACAGGGTTACCCCCAGCGTCAAAATTAATTCGCTGGTACCTATTTATCTGAGATTGAAGTGTCTTGCCCAATCTCTTGTTTTTCTGTAAACAGCCACGGGCTTATAGAAAAAAATTGAAAGACGCAATTTTTCCGTTATCTTTTTCAAATTAAAAAATACATTTGGCTTTCATGCCTTTCATCTGAAAAAGTTGAAAATAACTCTATAATTTTTGAACTGGTGTGTGGAAGAAAATTCAGTGGTGAACAAATTATAAAGACAAGTGGGTGTTTATGTCTCGGAACTGTATGTTTTCAATAGATACTTGGAATCTTGATGGAGGTGGAACAAATGGAAAAAGATTATGAGCAGATGGTGTCTGATTTGTTAAACTGGCTCAACTCAAAAATTGTCGAACTTGGTCGGCCATTCCAGAAGTCTATGATGGCAGTTCAGAGAGAGATGGCAACATTCAAGCATTTCAGAACTGTGGAAAAGCCTCCAAAGTAAGTTGATTATATTTAAAAAATGTTAAAAAAAAAAAAAAAGAAAATAAAGGTCTTTACTTGTCATTAGTGGTGTAGGAACCCTTAGCATGCAGTAACAAATTTGGCAGATTTGACAAAATTTTGCAAACTGAGTGAATGTTGCAAACTGAGTGAATGTTTGCAAACTGAGTAAAATTTGTCAAAACTACTACATGTAATTCAGCTGGGTGGAATTGATGGATTTGGTGACTTTTCACCAGCCAGGTCATCTCTATTCACTCACATAATTTTGTCAACAACCTGGGGGAAATGTTGTCCCATTTTTCACTTATGCCAAATTTGTCAACTTTTGGGGGCCCTTCTGTTGAAGTCATCTCCATTTTCTCGCACTAATGACAAAATTACCACAGATTGATAAATTTCATCAAAACTGTCGATATCATCAACAAAATTTTGTCAAATCTGCCTTTCTGTTACTTCATATTGTATCTCTAATTCTTTTACCAGATACACAGAACGTGTGAACATTGAGGCTCATCTCTTTAGTTTACAAACTAAAAGGAAAGGTAACAATCAGCAACCTTATGTTCCACCTGAGGGGCGACTGGTACTGGACATCAACAAGGCGTGGCAGGTCATGGAGAGTGCCGAGCATGATAGGGAAATGGCACTTCGCCAGGAGTTGATTAGGTAACTGCAGAAATGTCTTGTCTCTTTTTTTCTCTTTCAATACAAATTCCTGGTACAAATTTAGGATTACATATTTGGAGCTTACCCATTGGTTAGCTACACCTGTGTGAGGGTATATGATCCAGTAACGTGAAGGCTGCCCGGTCTTATTAGGCCATTAAGGTTATTTTGGGCAGCCATGTAGTCTTTTTATTTTAACTTATTTTTGTTTATCTAATTTCTAATTTCTAGCTGAGTACAAGTAAAGTTGTTGTTGTTGTTGTTGTTGTTGTTGTATGAAGCTTTTCAGATTCTAAAAGTATCACTGTCTCCGATCACCGTCTTGTGTTGTGGGTGCAATCTCACATCGCGTGTCTCTCAGTCTAGTCAGGAGAATTAAAGGATACTGGCATTTGTTGGAGCTACATGTTTATGACAATGTTGGAAGATAACTTACATTACTACAGACTGCCATGTCATCCAACTGTAATAACACTCCAAAATACTTCTAGCTATGGAAACTGAGATAATCTTCAGCAGTAAAGGCTGCTCTCCCTGGATGCAGATTTGCCCTTTTAAATTTGAGTAGGTTCTTGCTGCAATTACCAGTTGGTAGGTAAGTTCAGAAAATGCATCAATTTCTTAATATGTGATTTATGTGGGCTTTTTTTTCAGACAAGAGATGTTGGAAAAGTTGGCTGATAAGTTTGAAAGGAAGGTAAAATGTTTAATTAGCACATTATGTCATGATGATTTTATTATGATTGTCTACTCCAAACTGCAAATGTTAATCACCCTACAGTGTAGACTAGAGTATGAAAAAACTGTGAATGTTTTTGCCGCTCTTGTTGCTGCTCCATGAAAATATTTTCTGGTGTTCAAGGGAAGAACCCAGGGCTTGAACCATTGACCGTCTACATCAAGTCCAACATACTAAGTTACACATGACCATAGAACTTCCATATCATACTGATGTGGTGTGTCATTGTTCACTAATTTGGGGGAGGTTGGAGGCCTTTGGCACTCAGGAGCATCTATTATTGGCACATAGTACCTAGATTGGGATCTCACTAAAGGCTAGCAAATTCTTGAAACCCAGCCATGAATCCCCAGTCAAAACCTGTCACCTTCATGTAATGAGACGGTGGAAATGAGGAGAGAGTGGGGAGAGAGTTCCAAATGCTAGACCTCACTTACTGTGCTGATGTGCTGATATTGAAACAGTTTGCCACAGATAGAGCAAGGTTTAAAACTTCTTAGGCTACATTCATCGGTACAACCATACATCACAAGTCAACCATTTATATCAGGAATGCTCCTGCTTTTCAAACTCTCAATCCCGATGTTCTCCAATTTGCAGGCTTCTCTTCGTGAGTCCTGGCTGGATGATATGATGCATGTCCTTGAAGGAGAAGCGCTGGGTCAAGATGCTGCTACTGTGGAAGCAGCCTTCAAGCGTCATGAAGCAATTAGTACTGATGTCAAGGCCAGGGTTAGTGTTAAAAATGTATATACGTTAGCATTTAGGTCTGCACTGCACCCAAAGGGCATAGTGTGTGCAGAGGTCTTTGTCGCTATAGCCTTCTAGATGCATTGCAGNAATTACCTATAAATTGAAGGAAACCTGAAAATAGTAGTTAACCAAGATAGAAAAACTCTAAAGATATAATAATAAACTATAAAGGAACAAGGATGGTCAAGGATGGAGAAGATTGACACGGATTGAAAACCGGAAGACATAGAGAAAAATTAAGGTCAAACTTTTCGAGATGCGCAAACCGTGACGTAGCTAACTAGGAAACATTGTTCCAAAAAAACAAAAGTTTCTTGTTATGTTTTCGGGTGGCTAAAGTAGCAGCAAGCAAGGGAAATGTTTCGCTACCTGCGTGGCTGAACCAGGAAATATTTTTTCGGAATTTTACACTTGTTCAATTACGATTTTTCTCAGGGCTGGAAGTCTTGTAAAACACCGCAGTTTATAATAAACGCTTTCATTCATCAGGCTCTAGAAGCTGAGTTAAGTGGCCGGTTTGCTCATTGTGAGACAGTATGTGCCAAGGGACAGTCACTGATTGACAGAGGACACTATGCTTCCAAGGAGATCAGGGCCAAGATTAAACAACTACAGAATAACTGGATGAAACTAAGAGAACTTCTGATCACAAGATCTGAGAGGTTGAAGGATGCAGCGCAGTCCTTACAGGTATGCTAGCATAAAAACAAACAGGCCGTAGTTGTTGCTTGTCTGGTTGGAGCAGATTTTCCAAAAAACATGATACGGAAACGAAGACGCAGTGATACCAGAAGACGAAAGAAAGTGCTTTGCGTGAAAGGGAAATTGTGTTTAAGATGACCATTTCTTGGTGTATAGTAAGAGGTTCAATAANTTCTTCGGTGATATGGAAGAAGAAGAAATGTTTGTCAAGGAAACTGAAAAAGTTCTGTCATCTAAAGACGTCGGAAATGATCTGATAAGCTTGACAAGACTGCAGCAAAAACATAAGGTTGGTGATGTGTGTCAGGAATCAGGAAAACTGTTAAAGGAGCTCAGTCATGGTATATTAGCCACGGACAGAATTACCTATAAATTGAAGGAAACCTGAAAATAGTAGTTAACCAAGATAGAAAAACTCTAAAGATATAATAATAAACTATAAAGGAACAAGGATGGTCAAGGATGGAGAAGATTGACACGGATTGCAAACCGGACGACATAGAGAAAAATTAAGGTCAAACTTTTCGAGATGCGCAAACCGTGACGGAGCTAACTAGGGAACATTGTTCCAAAACAAAAATGTTTCTTGTTATGTTTTCGGGTGGCTAAAGTAGCAGCAAGCAAGGGAAATGTTTTGTTACCCGCGTTGCTAAACCAGGAAATATTTTTTCGGAATTGTACATGTGTTCAATTACGACTTTCCTTAGGGCTAGAAATCCTTGTAAAACATCGCAGTTGATATAATAAACGGTTTTATTTTTCAGGCTCTAGAAGCTGAGTTAAGTGGCCGGTTTGCTCATTGTGAGACAGTGTGTGCCAAGGGACAGTCACTGATTGACAGGGGACACTATGCTTCCAAGGAGATCAGGGCCAAGATTAAACGACTACAAAATAATTGGATGAAACTAAGAGAACTTCTGATCACAAGATCTGAGCGACTAAAGGATGCAGCGCAGTCCTTACAGGTATGCTAGCATAAAAAAAAAACAGGCCGCAGTTGTTTCGTGCCTGGTTGGAGCAGTGTTACCAGTAGATTACCATTTAAACGAAGGCGCATCGATACCAGTAGACGAAAGAACGCGTTTTGCGTGGAAGGGAAATTGTATTGAAGATGATCATTTCTTGGTGTATAGTAAGAGGTTCAATAATTCTGTTGTGGCTCAGCATTACCCTTGGTCCAATTTGCTATGTTCCGTTGTTTTACTTACATAATAATATAAGGCTGGTTTTTACTGTCACGCCATCAAAAATAAAAATAGTAAACATTCAATAAATTAAGTCAAGAATGTAGGATATAAAAGATGATTGATATATGAATAACCTTGCCAAGATTTGGGTCTGTGAGGTTTTTCATTCGCGCATTTTTCGGAGAAGCGTTTCGCTCAAATTTATAGAGCTTTGTAAGGAGATGCCGTGTTAGTGCCCTTCTAAGGGGTACCAAGATGAAAATCTTGATCATGAGCAGATAGGACACTGCGAACGATAACAATACACGCTACCTCACCAGCATAACTAGTGAGATTTGTCGAAGTAGTGTTAAAAAAATCTGTTGTGTTTTTTAAATTTATTTCAGTACTATTCAGACTCAAACGATGCTGAATCTTGGATGAAAGAGAAGATGTACGTTGTGAGTAGCGAGGATTACGGCAGAGATGAACAGAGTGCAATGGTGGGTAAAAAAAACTTAAGTGATCATGTTTTGTAAAAGGTCATCACTCACAAGAGGATGAAATGGGATATAAATTAGAGTCAATTTTGTTTAATCGTGGTTGTCTTATGGTTAGTGCGGCGGACTGCGGATCGAGTGGTTCGAGTTTGCCTGTTTGAGCCCTGGTCTTGGACAGCGTGTTGTGTTCTTGGGCGAGACACTTTACTCTCACAGTGCCTCTCTCCACCCAGGTTTATAAATGGGTATCGGCGAAATTAATGCTGGGGGTAACCCTGCGTTGGACTAGCATCCCGTCCAGTGTGGAGTAGAAATATTCCTAGTCGCTTCATGCTACAGAAACCAGAGACAAGCGCCAGCCTGATGGGCCTGGCTTGGCTTGCATGCAGACTTTTGTTTTATCGAGCAAATGTACTTGGTGAAATGCNACGATTTTTCTCAGGGCTGGAAGTCTTGTAAAACACCGCAGTTTATAATAAACGCTTTCATTCATCAGGCTCTAGAAGCTGAGTTAAGTGGCCGGTTTGCTCATTGTGAGACAGTATGTGCCAAGGGACAGTCACTGATTGACAGAGGACACTATGCTTCCAAGGAGATCAGGGCCAAGATTAAACAACTACAGAATAACTGGATGAAACTAAGAGAACTTCTGATCACAAGATCTGAGAGGTTGAAGGATGCAGCGCAGTCCTTACAGGTATGCTAGCATAAAAACAAACAGGCCGTAGTTGTTGCTTGTCTGGTTGGAGCAGATTTTCCAAAAAACATGATACGGAAACGAAGACGCAGTGATACCAGAAGACGAAAGAAAGTGCTTTGCGTGAAAGGGAAATTGTGTTTAAGATGACCATTTCTTGGTGTATAGTAAGAGGTTCAATAACTCTGTTGTGGCTCAGCATTACCCTTGGTACAATTTGGTATACTCCTTTTTTTTTTACTTACATAATAATGTAAGGCTGGTTTTAACTGTCACACCATCAAAAGTAAAAAATCGTAAACAATACATTCAATAATATGGGATATAATAGATGATTTTTTTATATAAACAACCTTGCCAGTCAGAGAAGCGGTTCACCCAAATTTACAGAGTTTTGTATGGAGATGCCATGTTGGTGCCCTTCCGAGGGGCACCAACATGGAAATCTTAATCATGAGCAGATAGGACACTGCGAACGGTAACAATGCATCAGTGTAAAAATGATAGGTGATTTCTATTCATTTACAACAATCATTTGAAATGAGAACAACTAAGTAGAGTTAAACATCGGTTGTCTTTTTTTTTTTTAATTTATTTCAGTATTATTCAGACTCGAACGATGCCGAATCTTGGATGAAAGAGAAGATGTACGTTGTGAGTAGCGAGGATTACGGCCGAGATGAACAGAGTGCAATGGTGGGTAAAAAAGAAACTTAAGTAATCATGTTTTGTAAAAGGTCATTACTCACAAGAGGATGAAATGGGACATAAATTAGAGTAATTTTGAGTTCAATTTTGTTTAATCGTGGTTGTCTTATGGTTAGTGCGCTGGACTCCGGATCTAGTGGTTCGGGTTTGACTGTTTGAGCCCTGGCCTTGGACAGTGTGTTGTGTTTTTGGGCAAGACACTTTACTCTCACAGTGCCCCTCTCTACCCAGGTTTATAAATGGGTACCGGCGAAATTAATGCTGGGGGTAACCCTGCGTTGGACAAGCATCCCGTCCAGTGGGGAGTAGAAATATTCCTAGTCGCTTCATGCTACAGAAACCAGAGACAAGCGCTAGCCTGATGGGCCTGGCTTGGCTTGCATGCAGACTTTTGTTTTATCGAGCAAATGTACTTGGTGAAATGCCAACCAAGTGGTTAAATTGCAACGAAGTAATATTTTGGAAAGAGGTAAAGATATTTATTAAATAGACTATTTAACTGACACGTTTGCTTGTGATATTTAGTCCCTACTGCAGAGGCACGCCAATGTTGTTGATGCGATAAAAGGATTTGCTGACGATGTCAATCGCTTGAGAGAACAGAGTAAACTAATGGAAAGCAACGAGATGGCAGCTCAGGTAAAACCCGTTTTAATCAAATGATGTTTGTGTTCCCCTCTCTCTTTACTAATCCCACGTATGAGATATTAGTTATCCTAAGGAACTATTATACTTACCGTGAAGCGTACAGCGTTGCTTAATAGGATCTTTGTACCTCTCAAGACGACTTTCGCATCTCGAGAGACTAGGCACGAGTCTCGCGTGATTAGAGACACGAGATTCGCTAAGATTCGCGTTTCGCGAGAGTAGAAGCACGAATTTCGCGAGAGGAGAAACACGAGATTTGCGTTTCGCGAGAGTAGACTCGCGTCTCGCGAGACAAGCCCGTCGTCTCTCAAGAGGCCCTCAAAAGCTTCGAGATGCCAAAGCGTGGGCTTCTCGCGAGTTAGATACGTCATTCTTGTAATGATTACAGTTATGTGCCAGCATTAACCAACGGAACTCGCAGTCCTAAATGCTTGGTGGTTGATTATGTTCTCTATTCTCAACACCTGTCTGCCTCTCAATGTCTTGATAATGTAGGGAGAAATTAGATTTTGACGAAGTAACGGCTGTCCTTATGTTGGTGTATTTCAGACAAAATTTGAAACTTATGAAGAAGAAACCGAAGTGGAGACGGACGAGGAAGTCGAGGAAATCGTGGAAAAAGAAGTCGTGAAAGATGTAGTACAAGAAATTAAAGTTCCACAAGTGAAAGCCTTGCATCCTTTCTCTGGACAAGGTCTAAAAATGGCTAAGGGAGAGGTGGGTAGGGTAATCAAGTTAAATAGTACGGCCTTGGTAAGGTACATTGTACCGTTGTGGATTTGAGTTTTGTCAGGACCCCACTCTTACAGGGACCAGTTCTGTTTTTCGTAAGTGTAAAAGAAATCTCATTGGGTTTAGTCTGTTCTTCTCTTAGTATTTCACGTGATTAACTCTCGTAGTCGTACTCTTTATTTTTAGGTCTGAACTATCTCTTTGTTGGATCTAGTGTTGAGGTTGTTTCTTATTTTTGGCTGTTTATTTCTAGGTCTTTTTCTTAATAGCTAAGACGAACAAAGACTGGTGGAGCGTGAGGTACGTTGATCTTTTTGGCATTGTGTTAAATTCTCTTATTGTGCTTTTTTTTCTTTTTTTTTAATTGCCCGTTGTGGCATTTTTGTCGCTGCAGTTTTCAGCTCTTGGATCAACAAGTTGTCCTTCAGCTCTTGAACCAACGAGCATGATTTGAACCCATCCAACTTGCTTTATTACAATACATATGGACTAAACAATGTTTTTTTTTTTGTTTGTTTTTTTTTNTAGATTCGGTTTTTGTGACATCCGAAATAATCAAGTTCTCGGCTAGTGTTATCAGCCGAAGCCTTCGGCTTCGGCTGATAACACTTACCTCGACCTTGATTATTCCGGATATCACAAAAATCCTCATCCAATAATTGTATATTATTGTGCTTTTTTTTTTTAATTGCCCGTTGTAGCCTTTTTGTCGCTGCCGTTTTCAGCTCTGGGATCAACAAGTTGTCCTTCAGCTCTTGAACCAACGAGCGTGATTTGAACCCATCCAACTTGCTTTGTTATAATACATATGGACTAAACATTGTTTTTTTTTGGTCCAAGAACGTTTTCCTGAGTGTTCTTTGAGTTGTGTATAAAAGTATTATATACCTATTTCTTCTAAGGCGTCTGACTTCGAAAGAAGCTGGTTATGTTCCTGCTAACTACGTAAAAGAGATTGAAGCCAGGACAGTGAAGAAAGTAACAAAACAGAAGGTTGTTGTCCCAGAGAAGATGCTGGTTAAACGAAAAGTGAAGAAGAAAGTTATGGTTCAGAAGCAACGGGCGGTGAAACTCAAAACTCCAGAAAAGAAAGGTAAGTGAATGGCAGAGAGAAGTCTTCCTTCCTCAATTTGACCCATAGCTTTCTTGTGAGCTGTGGCAAAATAAATCGCACTACTTGAAACAAATGCTCAATAGCTTTCATTTGAATGGTCACACACTAGGGTTTTATCCACAGACAACAAAGTTCTAACAAGGTGGTTCTAACTTTGTTAGAACCACCTTGCACAACATAATAAACATGTGAAAGATCTGCTCAATAGCTTTCATTTGAATGGTGACACACTAGGGTTTTATCCAGAAATTATGTTAGGCGGTTAACTGACTCAAAGTCTGACTGTGTTGTGAAAGGAGCAGGTTTTAACAACAGGCCTTCCTTAAATTTCACAGGGAAATCCCGTCGTCCAGTGAGACGCCATTTCACGGCTCATTTTGACCGCGACAATGTTGCAACGCGTCAGGTGTCGCTTCAGAACATGTACTCAAGACTTGTGGAAATGGCTGAGGTATTGTATTGCCTAACATAACCTTTATATCCTATTACAGAAATATTTCCATTTTTCATGATTTTTACTCAAAATTGGTCATGATCAAAGATTTGAATACAGTGACGCCTTGTTAATCCCACCAACGAACCAAAAAAAGTCTTGTGTTATTCGTAGAGTGGTCGTATTAAACTGCTAAAATAGAGCGGTTTTCATTTGAGTGTTTAAGAGTACTTGGTTTTGCACTTACTACGATACACGATTGGCTTAAAAACATGCGCCTATTTTTCATCCAATCAGAAGTAAAACGAAAGCCAATCGTGTCTCGTTCGCTCACCTTTTCCCGCGCTTCGCGGCAGTTACTGCTTACATGTAATTACTTCGAATTTTGATTGGTTCGCTGGATTGTCTGAGTCCTTTGTGATTGGCTAGAGTGATTACGTTGGTTTTAGGTTAATGACACTCAATTGAAAACCGCTCTAGAGAAAAACTAATAACTGACTTGAGGTATTGGTAAGGAACGGCTCTACTAAAAAGCATTTTTTTTTTTAAATATGGTAAAATAGGAAAAATGAAGAAGCTGTATGATTCATCAGTTCAATGTTGTTGGAAAGTTTGAGACTTGCATCAGCTGAAAGATTGCACAGTAATCTTCAAGCCAGTTTGTAATCAAAAAGGTTTTCTTTGATCTCACCTGACGTGTATTGGTAATTTTAAACGATCCAGTTTTTGTGTGTTTGTACCTTGCAGCTTCGTCGTGAGAACCTGGAGAACTCCATCAAGTATTTTCACTTCTGCCACGAGTGCGACGACATTGAAGCGTGGATGAAAAACAAGGTTTGACTGAACACCTTAGAATAGACCTGCAAGAATTAATATGATCGTAACAGGGAATTAGTTTACTTTTCTACAGGTAGAACATCACACTCGACCCTCAGCATGGGGCCTAATAAACAGTACCAAATAAAAGTACTGCTCAACAGCTTTCATTTGAATGGTCACACACTAGGGTTTCAACCACAGGCTTAAAAGTTAGGACCACCTTGTTCAGGCTTTATTTTTTACTAAGTTACATTTGAGGTGATGAATCTTTCTTTACATGAGTAGTCAAGTAACACATCTAGCTTTATCTCCCCCCACTCGATAACAATTTCCCACTAATCGTCATACTTTTCTTGTGATGTTAAGTGGCATCAATCAAGACAATGTGCCATAGTTGACCGTTCTACTGATCAAGTGTCTGCTTACCTCCGTTTGGATAAATTAGGTTTACACATTTTTTTTTTCAACTAATGGGTTAGAAATTTTACTATGTAGCTATAGCGCATCAATTTACCATGGAATAAGTCAAAAGCATTTTGAACTCCGCTGTTGAAATAGCTTGGATGTAACCAACATGCATGGGGCTAACGTTTTGCTCTACTATTGTCCTTTTGATCTTGTTAACATTTTAACGTTTTTCTTTGGCTAATCAGGATTCTCAGCTCGCTTACAACGCTTCTGAATCAAACAACGACATTCATCTCATTCGCAAAAACCTTGAGGTAGAGTTTGCTGCTAATCTGTAATATTTTAACTGTTGACCGCATTCTTATTCAAAGCTGGAACTTCTTCTTATGTTACGTTATGTTACGTTATGTTACGTTACGTTACGTTACGTGATCTTGCACGGACTTCGGTAACGATCTTGCTTTACGTAGCTCGTGATTGTGTGCGATTGTGTGTGCTATTTGTTCGGTGCGTTAGAAGTCACAATTATGTGATTCGTTTTGTTTGTCATTGTCCTGTTTGTATGTTGTTTTGCACAATAACTTTTAGGATTAACTCAGCTCTCAAGAAAGCATTATTTGTACGAGGCTAACAGAGTTCTGAACTGCTCACAGAAGTAAGGGTGCTTTAATACGTTATGGCTAATGCAGAAAGAAATAATCTTTAACAACTTAATTCCTCGACTCTCTGATTTGCAGTTAATTCATTTACTAATCGGGAAGGCCTTGTTGCTTACCGAAGCCCCGTCCGCAATACGTCGAGAGAATTTGAAAACGGACTTTTCACTCTGAAAAGTGTGCACGGGACCTGAATCAATCAAGTTAGCAAAAACATAAAGAACGTTACTCTCGACCTGTCCAACCTGGAAACAAGAAAGTAGAATGGAAAGAAACTGTCGAGATGTTAAGACATCTCTTAAGTTCCACCAAACGCATATTTGCTTTTGGCAAAGAAATGGTTCAGTTACCATTCTAAAATTGCTTCGTCTATTAGCCAGTGTAATGTTTTTTTGTCCTTTACGGTCAAGAGTTCTTAATCTGTCGTTGTTCAGTTCTCAAGCACTGTCACACAAGAAACTGTTTCGCGCACCACTAGCACCAGAAGTGTTGCACTCTAAAATGTCTAATGTGTAACAAATGTGTTGCTTCATTGCACCAATGTCACTTGTGATCATGCCTTCCCCTTCAAAAACGGTTGACCCCAGGTTAGGGACGGACCATTATTTTTTGAACGGGGGGGGGAGGGTTCGGCAATTTTTCTCATCTTTAGGTTGTGCATTATAACATCAAATTTCCAAGGGACAACTATCAGACCTATAGTTCCGAGACATAAATACTCTGTTGTCTTTATTGTTGTTCTGCGGGCCAGTTCAAAAATCTTACTGAATTTTTTTTAACTTTTTTAGATAAAAAGCGTGGAAGCTAAATGTAAAGTTTGAAAAAAAAAAAACAGACAAATTGCGTCTTTTATTTGTTTTTACTATAAGCCCCCTTGTTTACAGAAAAATTTTCACGGACGAGTACTGTCCATCCGGGTATTTTCCTTCGACGGGCACTATGGGCTGATAGTGTCTCTCCGCGGATGAACACTATCCAATCACGTGATCAATTTAAACCAATAAGAATCGGAGAAAATTTAGTGGTTTACCAGAATGTGAAGTATTGGCATTTTGTGTTAACAGGGTCTGACTACAGAGCTAACAGCAAACAGCAAACGTATCACTGAGATCAACACGTTAGCGGATCAGCTTGTCAACACGGATCATAGACATTCAGCTGCGGTGAAGAAAAGAAGAAAAGAAATCAATGACATGTGAGATTTTGTTTTCTAGGAACACGCTTCTAGTACTATGAGGGTCTCAATGGGGTTAAATGTCAACTGTGAAATAACAAACATTTTACCTTCAACCGTCAAACAACCGAAAATTTAGCCCCGTCAAAAAGCTATATTTTCTAACATCAACAGTCGAAGGTAAGGGTGGACCATTTGACTTTTGCGGAGGTGTGTCGGTGAGTTGGTGCAGGCTCGAATATTTTTAACCCTGCCATGCACTAGCACATTTTTTTTTCTCGGGACGTGTGTATGCATGGTATGTGCTCCCCTTGTAACGTCTTTTTTTCGGCTTTCTAAACGTTCGTGAATTTTTTTGGCAGTGGTCGTGTGCATGATTTTGTGTGGTCCAAGTGTGACTTGTGTTGCTCAGTGGAGCAGAGAGAACTCTAGTGAAGTTCAAACTGGTAATGTTCGTGTCACTTTGTAGGTGGGAAAATCTTCAACGCTTGAAGAAAGCCAAAGAAGAGGAGCTAAGAGAGAAGCATGGGTAAGAACAGGCCAACATCATTGTGTAGTTTATTCATTGCTGGTTAAATGTCTCCCTGATTTCATGTGAATGACCATGAATGACAATTCGGTATTGTATAGGCCTGCTTAGTTCTCAAACATCACTGCTACATAGCCATGCGTTGCATGCACGCGTTGCATGCCTATAATGCTACCGTCTCGGCTGTTAAGGTTCAATCCAAGGACATTCCATATCATATCAAAATACTTACATAAAAGTGAGCACTTAACACATCATTATTCCATTGTCTGCCAGGGTTGAGTTGTTCTTTGACTCGTGTGAAGAGATGAAGGCCTGGATTCAGGAGAAGGATGCCGTGTTATCAGACGGAGACCTGGGACGAGACTTGGAAACCGTCAGAGCTTTACAGAGGCGACACCAGGTAGAAGAGTATCAGCCGAAGGGTGGGGGTGGGGGTAGGGTTGGGGAAAAACACTAGCTTCTCACATCCTCCCTATAGTTGCATACGGTTCGATAGGCTCGACTTTGACATGACAGTTCTTGGGAATTATTTTCCTGCATTGCCAAGGCCTCCAGTTACTGTCGTGTCAGCCGGTCGCCATCAGTCTGGAACTCAGTTATATTTCTTACCTCTATCTTGGTCATCATGAATGGAACAGTACTCACAGTCTCTTAAGCGTTATAGGTGACACTCCAGAGCACTATCCTGGAACGGGCCAAGTGAATACTTGGAGACAAAATTCAAACTGAGAGGATTTTTAGAAAAACAATCATTATTACTGAGCCTGTTGAATTACAGTTCAATGCGCACTGTGATAAAACCAAAACAAAAGTAATCACTTTCGCCAATCATAACGGTTGCTGTCAATCCATAAAAACGTGAACCTTTGAAATATATCGAATTGTTTTGATTCCCTATAGAGACATGATCTGCTGAGGAATACTTAAACCTGAATTAAGACACGTGCTATCGACACACAAGATTAAGATCCACAAAGTGCATCCGGAAATAATGCTAACCACAGTTTAAAATCTGTTTTAGGGTTTAGAGAGAGATCTTGCTGCTGTGGAAGAAAAACTTGTGAAGCTGCAAGACCAGGCCAAATCGTAAGATGTTTAAATTATTTCACTCCGTTATCACGCTAACAGGTTTCTTTTATGGTATTTATTGGTTGTGTTGAACATTTTTTGGGGGTGATTTCATCTTGACTACGAGAAACGTCGTTTCACTGACTTTCGACACGCTAATGTTTGCGTACATAGACGATTTACACAATAAACCGAATTCGTATTCTCGGTACAGGACTGGAACTAGCTTGCAATGGAGGCTCATACGGGGAATATCATTAAAAACAGTGTATTTGCATTTAACAAGACTCCCTGCATTAGCCTCTGTCGCAAGCTACTTCCACTCCAATACCGAAAATAAAAAAAGCAGTCTATTTACGAAGCTAGACTTGATCAGGATGATGTCAAGTCAATCAATAAAAAAAAATCAATGAACTTTATTTAAGTGTCTAAAAAAACTTCTAGTCACCCCGAAGGCCGACTAATCGGGGACACTACCAAGTATTACTTTCTTGGCTCTGCCGAGAAAGATTTTTAGCCATTGTTTCGTTGCTTCCTTGGGAGTTAAGAATTTTACCTTCTCTCTTGTTTTGTAGCCTTGTGTCTCAACATCCTCGGCAAGCTCGGCAGATTAAAGCAAAAGAAGCCGAGATCATTGGTTTGTGGAATGGCTTGAAGGTTTGCAACAATGCTTTCCCAGTCATTTTATCTGATTAACCATAATTCAATTTGTTTTTGTTTGACCGAACTACAACATTGCAACAGCAACTAAAACACAATGTTGAAAAACTATTCTGCAAATAAATTATGTTTTCTCTCTTTTCAGAATAAAGCAAGTAAACGAAAGAACGTTTTGGATGAAGCTTATGGTCAGCAAGGGTTCCTGGCCGATTCAAGAGATTTGGTAAACTTTTCTTTATTTTTAAAGTGCATAGAAAATAGAGAAGCTTGTCTTAGAGATGTTAAAACGTTTCGTCATTCATCAGGACGAGATGAGATGCATTTCAAAGTTTGTGTGTGTAAGTATAAGTATTTTAATTTTCCCGCAGAGAAAAAGAGCTAAAGTAATTTCCGGAGAACTTCGGGTCATCTTCGGAAATCGTCTGCTCATCTTCGGAAATCGTCTAGTCGTGTTCGGAAATCGTCGGGTCAACTGGAGGTCCTCGGGGATCTTTAGGAGTCTTCAGTAATTTTACGCACCCACCTGATACGAAAACTCAAAAACCCGGTGGGGAAAATGGGAACATATTCCCCAATCAAATGCCGACGCACCAACCTCTGGGGACTAGAGGCGATTACAAGATTTCCAGACTTTCAAAGGGAACAAATTTTAATATAAAATTTGAATGTTCGAGAGCTGAGTTCGAGATCAATACATTACAACTGTCAAACCTTAAATGTGCGTATAGCAGAGGACTAAACTAATGCCATAGCGGGACACGTACATTTCATACCAACAGGAAAATATTTACATTCTTTGTCACTGTCACTTACAGTTCAACGCCGCCGAATGTAAATACATATTTTGCACGCTTAGGATGTAGATGAAGTATTTGCTTTGCAGTTATCTTGGGCATCAGACATGCGCGAGTCACTAAGAACAGGGGACACGCCCAAAGATGTCAATAGTGCCAAGCAACTTATACAGGAACATGAGGAGAAGTGGGAAGACATTCAAACGCATAACGACAGGTACTGATCCCCAGGGGCACATTGTAGGTGGAGGGGGCAGGGGACTGGGTTGATTTAATTGAGACACGAAGAAATAACACAAAAGTGATCGCTTTAAATTGACAGGTTTGACCAATTAAAGGTGATGATATCTGATTTCAGGTGTTGTTTTCATACTCATGAAAAAAAATTCTAAGCGAAGCAATGTTTTTGCGGCGACTTTATTTCTACCTTTACTCTTTAATTTTAATTCGATCGGGAATTTATGTCAAGCACGAAAACACCTGAAGTTTCACTAAAATACCTCCTCTTCCCGCGTCGTATTTTCAACTTGCTTCTCGGTGTCTGGAAATGTGATGAAACACTGTCTCTTGTGTTTGATATATTTCTATTTTTGATATTTAAATTTAAATTTCCTGCAAAAGAAATGCAACTGACTTAAAGCGCAACTTGGTTCTCTTCGTCTTATCAATCTTATTATGGTTAGAAAAACAAAACTTTTTTTCTGGCCAGTCGATGTTACTAACTGCAATTGTCTGTAAGCATATTGGTTGTTGTTTGTATTGCAGGTTTGACCAGTTGATAGAATACGGTCAGAAGATGGTAGCATCCAACCCGCGTGTGAAACAGCTCAGAGACAGAGTGACAGCGCTAAAACAAGAAAAGGCAGCACTGAAGGACACTTGGAGTGAAAGAAATGACGTACTACACGAAGGCCAAGACTTACAGGTCAGCCCGCTGAATCATAAAACAAGCCTACGCCATATACTCTTCATTGATGTGAATTTCGCTCATGCCATTTGTAATACAGTGAAAGCATTACGCTTACAGCAGAATTGAAAGAGCGGAATTAGCTTTGTCGACCCCCAGTTTATCAAATTTAGTTCTTACATTGGATCGGTTTTTAATTGAGTGTCGTCAAACCAAAACCAAACCGATTACGTACCAGCTAGACTACTCGGCCAATCTCAAGCCGTAATAAACCAAAGCCAAAACCAAAGTGATTGCCTGATTACTTTCGACACTCAGTTGAAAACCTCTGTACCTTACACTGCCGCACGTAAATTCAACTGATATGTACTTCCGACAATTGTATCCCGGGGGATCCTGGTAAAAAGTGAAGCGAAGTGAAGCATCGGAACATCAATCTGAGGCATAATCTTGTGAGCTTGGTAGCATGGCGTCTAATGCTGCNTAGCTTTCATTTGAATGGTCACACACTAGGGTCCCAGCCGCAGACTTCTGATCTAATCCTGTGTCTTTTTCTGTCAGTTTGAAGCGTGGATCCAAGAAAAGCTTCAGATTGCTACCGACGAGTCTTTCAGAGATTTAACCAACATCCAGAGAAAACTTCAGAGACATCAAGCATTCGAAGCTGAAATCGCAGCAAACAAAGACGGCTTTGATAGCATCAATGCGGTAAGCCCTTGAGGATATGTTGTTGCTTTAAAATTCCATGCGTAGCTGTAGACAAACACCATGAGCGTAGTTTCAATTATTTAAGGAGTTATCCACGATCGCAAGGCACCATCCACACTACGCCGGAGAAATTTCAAAACCAAGCTTTATTTACACTAATCCGTCACGGAAACGGAGCTTTTCGAAAACACTCTTCGCTTTTGTGTTTTAGTGTGAACGGAAAACATTTTGAAAACGGAGCTTTTCGAAAACGATGACGTCACGATAATCACGTGATTTCCCTGACCGAGTTTTTCCTCAAACACAAATCCAAAATGACCGGTGATTGTTGCGTTTTTAAATTTATCCGGCTTAGTGTGGACCTGGGCTAAGTCAATTACCTTTGAACGGTTTATTAAGGTAAAACGAGGTAAAGGGATGGTTGAGACTGAAACGGATTGCAAAAGTCTAAATTGAAATATGTGGAAATATGTAGGCATGATGTAGCAACGGTGTTTGTTTCAGGCTCGCTGTAGCTGTCTTCGTCAGTTTAACACTCATATTCGCCTTGCGGTCATCAGCAAATCTGCCTTCTTTTTTGGAAAATTGGTTGTAGTCATTCCTTTCCCTTCTACACTCTTCCTGCACTTTTGTTTTAAAATAATCCAATTATAATTATTAATAATTAGGAATTTTGAATTCCTTTTAGTGCGGAAAGAAACTGATTCGTGAAGGCCATTATGGTGCCGACGAAATCAAGGACTTTTTGAGAAGATTAAATGAAGGCTGGAATGAACTAGTCAGCAAGTCCGCTGATAAGGGTTTCAGACTACAGCAAGCTCATCAACAACAGCAGTTCAACCGAGCCATGGAAGACGTGAAGGTGCGTTGGCCAAAAGTATGGCTTCAATATTGCCCCAATTCTAGTTCATTATTGTTCTGTCAAATGATTTGTTGTATCTACATCCCCTATCCATCCACTGATATCAAAACCCGTTATTTTCTCCACTTTGGATCAACAAATGTGTTTTAAAAATTCCATGGCATATGTTCCCCGATCAACGGAATCAACACTTTGTAAAGGATCTCTTAGCACCACATTATTCCAAAAGTTCTTAGGAATCCAGGCAATCCTCTTATATTTTTCACATTGTCATGCATTTTCATCTTGTCATCTTTGCTCATCCTTAATTCCGTTCGGTTGTACTTCAAAATCAAATCACTAGTTTTGGCTTTCTTGTAACTAACATTTTGCGCCTCTGTTATCGCTGCCTATTGTCGTACCTAGATCTCACTCTGCTTGATGCTTGGCCGTAGGAGATCTGGGTTCGAGATTAAACGCTGCCAAGAGCGGGAAAACTCGCCGAAGTAGTTCCTGATTGGCTTCGAGTTAGCTCCTGATTGGTTGAAAACCAGAATGTTTTCTCTGATTGGTCAGAGTGTACTGTACTGAGGTCACGTGATCAAACAACAAGTAGATTAATTTCTTTCCAGTGTCTATTGAAAACGCTCTATCAAGAAGGAAAACAAAACAATTTTAATGGTTGTATTCAAAGGGTGTTTTAAAGGATATTTCTATCTCTAGGTTTGGATGAATGAAGTTGAAACACTGATGTCTCTCGAAGACCTCGGCCATGACTTGTCTAGTGTCAAGTTCCTTCTCAAGAAACATCAAGGAGTGGAGACTGATATCGAGGTTCACGATGCTCAGATCCAGACCCTTTGCGACCAAGCGCAGGGTTTGATTGAGGCTGGCCATTTTGATGCTGTCAGGATTGAGCAGGGGACAGAAAACATGTTGCAGAGGTACTAGCTTGAGGACTGAATGTTTTGAATTCCGTTTACGTAACTGTAATTGATGTTTTCTTTACCTTTGATTGTCCCTTATGGCATTGTTATCCACTCAATCATGGGCCATTCTTTGTTTTCAGGTTTGATGATCTAAAAGAACTCTCCTCAAACCGTCAGTCGCAGCTTGAAGACTCACTCGGTCTTCACCAGTTCTTTTATGACATTGAAATGGAGATGGCCTGGATACGAGAACACATGACTCTGGCAACCTCGGAGGACCTGGGCACAAGTCTGATTGGCGTACAACGACTTCAGAAAAGACATCTGGTAAAACTTGTTTTCAAACAAATTTTAAAATGAGCTCAGTTCCAAGTTGTTTATTTAAGAATTATTAATTCTTGTGTCACGTAGAAGAATGACATTTGTCTCCCAGCTGTTGGAATTGTTTTTTGTTTTACTTCAAAATAAACACTTTGTTTCAGGCCTTGGAGAATGAATTGGCCAATCACCAGTTTAGAATCGACACAGTGCTCGCTTCCGGTCAGGATTTGATTGACAGCAATCATTATGCTTCTGATGAAATAGAAGAACGATGCGAGGAATTGAACGAGAGCTGGGCACTACTCATGGGGGCATCCGCTGAACGAAAACAAAGACTGGGCGATTCTCTGGAGTCCCAGAAGGTCAGTGCTATTGTGAGAAAAATAATCGAATAAGTGATAATACCGCTAAAATCGAATATTCACCAGCGACTCTGGGGTAACTTCATGCACAAGGTTCATAAAAACAGTAAAGACAAAAGAACGTTAGGTAATCTGTGCTATCTTGTTTCCAGTGTCCGCACATTTTCGGTTTGTGGTGACCGAACGCGCGACGCTATAGACAAAATCAAAANCGCAGCCAATCAGGATTACGGAAAAGACGAGTTGTCTGCTGAAAAGCTGCTGACCAGACATACTGCTTTGCAGTCAGCTGTTGATACCTACAGTCCGATCATTCAGGGCCTGGCAGAGCAGGCGAGGAAACTGGTGCAAAGGGACCATTTTGCTGCATCAAAGATTGCCTCGAGACAGGTAAAATGTTCCAGGATGCCACTGCAAGTATCTGTTTATAGCGACGCAGTCACCCTTTTTCGCTTAGTTTCTGAAAGACATATCAGTAGGCATCACTGAATAAGTGGCGTTATTAAAAACTGGATCATTGCATAATGCAATTTAAGAGTTTTCATTGGCTTAGCCATCATGGGTTATGAGTCATTATACCATGCTCTGTAAATATGGTAAGCGCACGCGCAATTTTTTAGGGCGTTTTTATTTCTATTTTGTTTTAGTTTTCTATACTTTGGGGCGTTTTTAATAAACAATTATTCCACTCGCGCTTGCTGGATATAAGATGGTTATAGCCAACTCGTCACTACGCGCCTCGTTGGCTGTCTACTATCTCATATCCAACGCGCGCTCGTGGAATAATTGTTAAAGAACCCTCCAAAATAATGGCAATATCTAATGGTGTCAAAGATGTTAAAATCCCTATTTGACAGACCTTTTTTTAACAATTTTGAACCGATAAAGTGTGATACTGTAAATTTATTGAGGGCTAACTTTTCGTGTCCATCTTTTCAGCGTGACATTGAAGAGCAGTTCTCAGGGCTGCAGACACTGACCAACACGCGGCTTCACAGACTGGAAGAATCTAAAAAACTCCATCAGTATCTGCGTGAAGTGAATGAAACCACTGAGTGGATTACGGAACAGCTACACGTGGCGGCTGCAGAGGATTATGGGAAAGATTTTGAGCATCTGGAGGTGTGTAGTGTGTCATGGTTCTGGTCTTAAATTCAAGGCGGTTTATCAAAGAATTTGGCGTGTTTTGTATATTCAACCAAACGCAAATTGAGCATCACTGTAAAGTTTCTATCTGGTGCTATTTTCGCAACTGGATCAAGATTGAGTAGGAACTAAGCTTAAGGGCTTCAATAGTTAAGAATTGGTTTGCTTGTTTCCTCTCTTTTTGATTAACTGTTTTGGTTGCAGACTATTCAAGGCAAATTCGAGGATTTTAAGCGCAGCGTCATGGCGAAAGCTGACCGTTTCAGCGAGGTGGACAACTTTGCCAAACGTCTTGTAGCTGAGGGGCACACAGACACTGTTATCATCAAAGAACAGCAAGATGTTCTGAGGTGTGTGTCCCTTATAGTTTGTTTTATGATATATAAAAACAATACCTAACTACTTGTTAATTAAGTGTGGCTAAAACCTCAAATGGTCAGTACGCTCGCCTCCGAATCTAGTGGTCCGGGTTCGAGCCCTGGCCTGGGGCACTGTGTTGTGTTCTTGGGCGAGACACTTAACCTTCACAGTGTTTCTCTGCACCCAGGTGCATAAATGGGTACCGGCGAATTTAATGCTGGGGTGGTAACCCTGCGATAGCTTAACATCCCATCCAAGGGGAAGTAGATATACTCCTGGTCGCTTCATGCTACTAAACCAGGATAAGCTCCGACCTGATGGGCCACTTGGCTTGTACGCAGTCTTAACCTTACTTCTATGCATTTATTATTTTTTCTAGATCAACCTGGGCTCAGCTGCAGGATCAAATCAAGATTCGCACCAAGCGGCTTGCCAGCGCAGCTGAGATACACGGATTCAACAGGGATTTGAACGAGCTTATCACTCGTCTCCAGGAAAAGGACGCGTCTCTCTCCATGGAGGACCTGGGTCGAGACATGGCTAGTGTCCAGGGCCTCCAGCGAAAACACGAGGGACACGAGAGGGAGTTGCTTGTGGTTCAACAACAAGTTGAGACTCTGAATGCCGAGTCAGCAAAATTACAAGCCGCTTATCAAGGTAGTACTATACTAGTTCTTTTTTTTTTAAATGGCGTATTTTGTGCCACGTCTTGTAGANAGTTAAGAATTGGTTTGCTTGTTTCCTCTCTTTTTGATTAACTGTTTTGGTTGCAGACTATTCAAGGCAAATTCGAGGATTTTAAGCGCAGCGTCATGGCGAAAGCTGACCGTTTCAGCGAGGTGGACAACTTTGCCAAACGTCTTGTAGCTGAGGGGCACACAGACACTGTTATCATCAAAGAACAGCAAGATATTCTGAGGTGCGTGTCCCTTACAGTTTGTTTTATAATATATAAAGACAGTACCTAACTACTTGTTAATTAAGTGTGGCTAAAACCTCAAATGGTCAGTACGCTCGCCTCCGAATCGAGTGGTCCGGGTTCGAGCCCTGGCCTGGGGCACTGTGTTGTGTTCATGGGCGAGACACTTAACCTTCACAGTGTTTCTCTGCACCCAGCTGCATAAATGGGTACCGGCGAATTTAATGCTGGGGTGGTAACCCTGCGATGGATTAGCATCCCATCCAAGGAGGAGTAGATATACTCCTGGTCGCTTCATGCTACTGAAACCAGGATAAGCTCCGACCTGATGGGCCACTTGGCTTGTATGCAGTCTTAACCCTACTTCTATGCATTTGTTATTTTTTCTAGATCAACGTGGGCTCAGCTGCAGGATCAAATCAAGATTCGCACCAAGCGGCTTGCCAGCGCAGCTGAGATACACGGGTTCAACAGGGATTTGAACGAGCTTATCACTCGTCTCCAGGAAAAGGACGCGTCTCTCTCCATGGAGGACCTGGGTCGAGACATGGCTAGTGTCCAGGGCCTCCAGCGAAAACACGAGGGACACGAGAGGGAGTTGCTTGTGGTTCAACAACAAGTTGAGACTCTGAATGCCGAGTCAGCAAAATTACAAGCCGCTTATCAAGGTAGTACTATACNCAAGTCTTTGGATAGGAACAAGAGCGACGATGCTATGAGATCAAAAAACAATAAGGGTCCTCGTATCTTTTGTCAGGTCACACTGCTGAAACCATCAACAAGCATGAAGAGTTTGTTTTGGGTTTGTGGGAAGAACTCAAAAGGAAGACATCCAGGAAGAAATGCAAGTTAAATGATGCCAGTGAGTTCCACAAACTCAACAACGAGGTTAGAACATTGTGCGTGGTTCGCTGTTTTTCCCTCTCTCTTCCTTGTGAATGCAAGTAGCTGCGTGAAACCCTGGCCAAACGGACTAGCAAGTAGAGGCAAGTTGAAAACTTGGGTGTACTTGCGACTCCGTTTGGCCAGGTCTGAACAGGTCTTGCCTGCACTTAGGCTCATTTGCAACGATTTGCGCTCACTTTGGTCGAGATCAAAGTTGCACACAAGGTGATGCAAGTTTTTTGTTGTGTGGCCACCCAACCCAAGTCAAGGTTGGAGACTTCCATTCGTTCATTCATTTTGGCGACGCATGAAAACCCGTAGCCTTGTAATGGGGTTTTTGTGCGACTTGCGTGTACTCGTGAGGAACTTGCGAGTCCGTTTGGCCACCCAACGCAAGTCTCTACGCAAGTTCAACTTGCAACTACTTGCGAGTCCGTTTAGCCAGGGCT